TCAGTGACAAGTATTTGATGAATAGTCTATCTATGAAAGAATTATGACAAAACCAGATTTAAACAACACAAATCCAGACCTATAGAAAGTACTGGAAGGAAAGCTCCAACCCAAGGAAATTAACTACAACCAGAAAACATAGGAAAGAAAGTACACAGCACTAAGTGCCCACATGAAGAAATAGGAGAATCCTCACACTAGAGACTTAACAGCACACATGATGCCTCTAGAACAAAAGAAAGAAACTCACCCAGGAGGAGTAGATGCCAGGAAATAATCAAATTGGGGGCTGAAATCAATAAAGTAGACACAAAGAAAACAAGATAAAGAATACATGGAACAAACAGTTGGTTGTTCAAGAAAATCAACATGACAGATGAACCTGTATTCAAACTAACCAATAGGCAGAGAGAGAACATGCAAATTAACAAAATCAGAAATAAAAGGGGAACATAACAACAGAAATTGAGGAAATCCAAAGAATCATCAGGTCATGCTGTGAAAACCTGTACTCCACAAAATTGGAAATAAAAAGGAAATGGACTATTTTCTGGATAGGAATCACTTATCAAAATTGAATCAAGAACCAATAAGCAACTTAAATGGACCTTTAACCCCTTATGAAATAGAAGCATTCATCAGAAGTCTCTGAACCCAATAAAACCCCAGGGCCAGATAGTTTCAGTGCTTAATTCAACCAAAAATTCAAAAAGAACTAAAACCAATACACCTCAAATTGTTCCACACAATGCAAGCAGAAGGGTCATTGCCAAACTCTTTTTATGAGGCTTCAATAACCTTGGTACCCAAACCACACAAAGACACAACTAAGAAACAGAACTACAGACCAATATCCCTCATGAACATTAATACAAAAATACTCAATAAAATACTGGAATATCAAATCCAAGAATACATCAGAGAAATCATCAACCATGATCAAGTTGGCTTTATCCCAGGGATTCAGGAATGGTTCAACATACAAAAATCTATCAATGTAATCCACCATATAAACAAACTGCAAAAGAAGAGCCACATTACTATATGCTAAAAAGGCCTTCAACAAAATCCAACACCCCTTCACGATAAAGGTCTTGGAGAGATCAGAGATTACATGAACATACCTAAAGGCAATATACAGCAAGCCAACAGCGAACTTCACACTAAATGGAGAGAAACTCAATGCCATTCCTCTAAAATCAGTAACAAGACAAAGTTGTCCACTCTTTCCATATCTCTTCATTATTGTACTTGAAGCTCTAGCTAGAGCAATAAAACAACAAAAGGAGATAATGGGAATAAAAAATGGAAAGGAAGAAGTCAAACTTTCACTATTTGTAGATGATATGATAGTTTTCATAAGTGACTGGAAGAATTCTACCAGGGAACTCCTACAGCTGATAAACACCTTCAGTAAGGTGGCAGGATATAAGATTAACTCAAAAAAATCAGTAGCCCTCCTATAAATGGACTATATAGTGGCTGTGAAAGAAACCAGGGAAAGAAACATGACCTTTTACAATAGCCAAAAACAACATAAAATAATTTGGGGTAATGCTAATCAAACAAGTGTAAGAACTGTATCACAAGAACCTTGAGTCTCTAAAGAAAGAAATTAAAGAAGATACCAGAAAATGGAAAGATCTCCCATGCTTTTGCATAGGTGTGATCAACATAGTAAAAAATGTCAATCTTGGGTTCCGGTTCTGCGGCCTTGCTCGAAAATATCTGATGCCAGGGATCTGCTCACTGGATCCGAACTTGGTGCCAGGATCCAACACATCCAGACACTGCCAAGGCCCTGGTAACAGTGCCACCTCCATCCACGAGAAGAGGACAGATATTAGAGTATTTGAACTGTTTGCATCTACCAGAAGGGAACCTTGGTCCCATACTCATCAGGAGAGGAAGAGACTCCTGCTATACCCACCAGAAGAAAGGATGAGAAGAGGACAATGTAAAAGCACATTCATAACAGAAAACCCAATATGGCACCAACAGAGACTAGGAACCATAAATCAGAAAGACCTGAACATGAAAATGCAGATGAATCAGAAGAGAATGACCTTAAAAACATCTTCATGAAAATGAAGGACCTCAAAGAGGACATAAGAAAATCCCTTAAAGAAATGGAAGAAAAATCAAAACAAAAAATACAAGATATCAACAAATCTCTCAAGGAAACATTCAAGACCTAAAACTGAAATAGAGACAATAAAGAAAGCACAATCTAATGGAATGCTGGAAATAGAAAAGCTGGGTAAATGTTCAGGAACTACAGATACAAGCATAACCAACCAGAACACAAGAGATGGAAGACAGAATCTCAGGAGTTGAACATACACTAGGAGAAATAGACTCATCAGCCAAAGGAAATCTTAAGTCCAACAAATCCAAAATACAAATTATCCAGGAAATATGGGATACCATGAAAAGACCAAACCTAAGAATATTAGGTATAGAAGAAGGTGAAGAAATCCAACTCAAAGGCCCAGAAACATATTCAACAAAATCATAGAAGAAAACTTTCCCAACCTAAAGGAAGACATGCCAATGAAAGTACAAGAAGCCTACAGTCTGAACCAAAAAAAGCCTCCTTGACACAATATACAGAATAAAGAGAAAATATTAAGAGCAGCAAAGGAAAAATGTCAAGTAACCAATAAAGGCAAACCTATCAGAATTACACCATGGAAACTCTGAAAGCCAGAAGGTACTGGATAGATATTCTACTTACACTAAGAGACCAATTCCTCTAAAAGTGGGGACAAGACAAGGCAGTCCACTCTCTCCATACCTCTTCAATATTGGCCTTGAAGTTCTAGCTAGAGCAACAAAACAACAAAAGGAGATCAAGGGAATACAAATCGGAAAGGAAGAAGTCAAACTCTCACTATTTGCAGATGATATGATAGTCTACATTAGTGACCCAAAAAACTCTACCAGGGAACTTCTACAACTGATAAACACCTTCAGCAAAGTGGCAGGATACAAGATTAACTCAAAAAATTTGTAGCCTTACTATATAACAATGAAACATTGGTGGAGAAAGAAATCAGAGAAACATCACCCTTTACAATTGCCACAAACAACATAAAATACCTTGGGGTAACACTAACCAAAAAAGTGAAAGACCTGTACCATAAGAATTTTGAGTCTCTAAAGAAAGCAATTAAAGAAGCCACCAGAAAAATGTCAAGATCTCCCATGCTCTTGGATAGGTAGGATCAAGATAGTAAAAATTGCAATCTTGCCAAAAGCAATCTACAGATTCAATGCAATCCCCATCAAAATCCCAACACAATTCTTCAAGCACCTTGAAAAAACAATCTCAACTTTATATGGAAAAAAAAGACCTAGAATAGCCAAAACAACCCTGTACAATAAAGGAACTTCTTAGGCATCACCATCCCTTACTTCAAGCTCTATTATAGAGCTATAGTTCTGAAAACAGCTTCGTATTGGCACAAAAATAGACAGGTAGACCAATGGAATAGTGTTGCAAATGCTGGTATTAACCCACACACCTAAAAACAACTGATTTTTCACAAACAATCCAAATTTATACGCTGGAACAGAGAGAACATCTTCAACAATGGTGCTGGCATAACTGGCTGCTGGAATGTAGAAGACTGCAGATAGGCCCAAGCCTATTGCCATGCACAAAACTTAAGTCCAAATGGATCAAAGACCTCAACATAAATCCAGCCACACTGAACCTATTAGTGGGAAATACCCCTGAATTAATTGGGACAGGAGACCGATTCCTAAACATTATACCAGTAGCACAGACACTGAGATCAACATTTGATAAATAGAACCTCCTGAAACTGAGAAGCTTCTGTAAGCAAAGGACACAGTCATAAAGACAAAACAGCAACCCACAGGCTGGGAAAAGATATTCACCAACCCACATCTGACAGAGGGCTGATATCCAAAATATACATAGAACTCAAGAAGCTAGCCACCAAAACACCAAACAATCTGACTGAAAATTAGGGTACAGAACTAAATAGAGAACTCTCAATACTGGAATCTAAAATGGCTGAATGGCATTTAATAAATTCTTCAACATCCTTAACCATCAGGAAAATGCAAATCAATACAACTCTGAGATACCATCTTACACCTGTCATAATGCCTAAAATATAAAACACCAATCACAGTTCATGCTGGAGAGGATGTGGAGAAAGGAAAATACTCCTCCATTGCTGGTGGGAGTGCCAACTTGAACAGCGATTTGGAAAACAGTGTGGAGGTTTTTCAGGAAAATGGGAATCAGTCTACCTCCAGATCCAGCAATTCCCCTCTTACACATATACCCAAAGGATCCACATTCATACAGATAGATATCTGTTCAACTATGCTCATAGAAACATTATTTGTAGAGCTAGAACCTGGAAACAACCTAGATGCACCTCAGCTGAAGAATGGATAATAAAAATGTGGTATATTTACACAATGGCGTACTACTCAGTGGGAAAAAAATGAAATCTTGAAATTTCCAGTCAAATAGATGGATTTAGAATCAACAATTCTAAGGGAGGTAATCCAAACACAGAAAAGCAAACATGGTATATACTTGTTCATAAGTAGATATTAGACATAGAGCAAGTGATTACCAACTTATAATCCACAACCCCAGAGAAGCTAGGAAACAATGAGAACCATAAGAGAGAGATACATAGTCTCCCGGAGAAGGGGAAAGGGACAAGATCTCCTGAGCAAATTGGGAGCATGGGGGATGGAGGAGGGAGGTAAGAGAAAGCTAAAGGGAGAAGGGGAGGGTGAGGAGAACTTGAGATCAGGAATATCAAGTTGGGGGAAAACAGAGGAGAGCAAGAAAAGAGATACCTTAATAGAGGGAGCCATTATACATTTAAAGAGAAATCTTGCACTAGAGAAATGTCCAGGGAGCCACAAGGTTGACCCCAACTAAGAATCTAAGCAATAGTGGAGAGGCTACCTTAAATGTCCTTCCACTATAATGAGATTCATGACTACCTTAAATGCCATCACAGAGCCTTCACCCTGTAGATTATAAAAGCAGAAGCAGAGATTCACAGCTAAACACTGAGCCCAACTCCTTGAATCCAGTTCTAGAGAGGATGGAGTGATGAGCAAGTGGTTCAAGACCATGCTGGGGAACTCTCAGAAACAGTGGTCCTGAGCAAGTCAAGGAAACCAGTTTGAAAGATAGGGGACCAGCATATGTCTGAACCAGGCCCCCTGAACATGTGTGTCTGTGGGAGGAATTGGCAGTCTATTGGGCCTCTAGTGCACTAATCGACTTTGGAGCCCAATCCCTATGGAGGAGTACTCTTTTAGTTAGACACAAGGGACAGGACCCCTTGTGACAGAGTTTGATGATCCCCCATCAATTCCTCACCCTTCCTGGGAAGGGGATTGGTTTAGGATGGGGAATTGCTGCAGGGCATGGAGGACTGGAGGGAGAGGGAACTGGGATTGGTATGTAAAATAAGATTGTTTTTAATTTCAATACAAATTTATTTTAAAAGTCTGATGGATAGACAACATTGACAAATCAAAATATCCAACAAACATTATGTTTCTCTGTACACGTGAACACTCACATAAACATGTTTATTTGTTATACTGACCAGTTTTCTGTGTCAGCCCATCAATCATTGTAGTGACTGTGGGCTTCCCTTTTTCTTAAGCATTACAACTTCAAGCTGTAACTATGTCATTTTTTCCTTTGTTACCTCTGGGGAATTACTTTATACATTTGTGTCTCTTTTTTTCTTAAATCTAAATTGTAATAGTTCTTAAATCTCAAAGCTGTCATAAACACAAACTAAATACTTAGTAGAACCACTAGTCAATGCATATTAAGTTTTAGTGCTCAGATTATCAATTAAAAAACTGAAAGACATGAACTTTACAAAATGAGGCATTTTATCTATGAAAACACTTCTTTACCAGAGAGATGATCAAGGAAATGTGATTGACACTATTATTTTTTCCATAGAACTGTAGAGGAAACAGGAACTTATTTATAGGACTGAGGAACATGACAATTAGTTTTGATAATAAGTCCATTGCAGTTGTACCACAGGTAGAAAAATTTAGAAATCATGGATGAAGCACTACTGAAATTCTCATATAGTTATCAATTTTGTCTGTTTCTAAATTTGTTAAGCAATTTTAGGAAAGCAATCCGCACCTCTCGGTTCCTCAGACTGTAGATGAGGGGGTTGAGAGTAGGGGTGATGAGACTGTAGAAAAGGGAGACCATGTTGTCCTGGTATGGGCTGTGATATGAACTAGGTACCATATACATAAACACTGCTGCACCGTAAAAGAGTCCCACTACTGTGATGTGGGAAGAGCAGGTAGTGAAGGCCTTATTCCGAGCTTCCTGTGAATGCATATGTAGAACAGCCCTCAAAACTAGGCCATATGAGGTGATGATGAGCAACAGGGGGAGCATGAGGATCAGTACCCCAGAGACAGATAGTGCCAACTCATACATGGAGGTATCTGAACAGGAGATTTCCAGCAGTGCTGGAACCTCACAGAAAAAGTGGTCTACAACTCGAGAGGCACAGTAGGAAAAGTTCAGAGTGATGGAAGTCTGGATGGAGCCATTGAGCACACCTACTAGCCAGGAAAATGCCACCATAAATATGCACACCTGATGTCTCATGAGTACAGGGTACTGTAGGGGATGGCACACTGCCACAAAGCGGTCATAAGACATGAGGGCCAGCAGGACTCCTTCAGCCACACCCATCATAGTCAGGAAAAATATTTGTGCAGCACAACCTCCAAAGGAAATCAAGCTCTCTTTCTTAGGGAATTCTGATACCATCTTGGGTATTGTGATCAGGGGGAAACAAACATCTAAGAGCGAAAGCTGACTCAGCAGGTAGTACATGGGTGTGTGGAGTCTGGAGTCCAACCGGATCAAGAAGAGCAGAATAGTGTTTCCCAGAAGGCCAATGATAAACATGGCAGCTACCAGGGAGAGAAGGAGTTCATGTGAACCTGATCTGCTGAAGAGGCTCACCAGGATGAAGTTGGAGGACTCGGACTGATTCATATCACCCATGTCTTATGTAAAATGCTTAACTGAAGGCATATCAGACTTATATCAAGGAACCCAAGATGGAAGGTCACTTTCCTCAAGTTTTAGTGGCTGCCTGGAATGCCATTTTGAGAAGAGCTATAAAGCCACAGGTAGAACCAGTGAGGAAGAGAATGGATCCTTGTTTTGTCAATAATGTCTGCCAGACATGGGGGAAGAATGTAAGAACTTGAATATGTGAAGGAAATCCTCTGCCACATTCTGATAAAATGCTACCCATTGAATCTGAGGAGATGGATCAGCATTTAAAATGCATGCAGCATAAGCAGCAAATGTGATTTCGAAGAGTTCAGGTCCCCAAACCCATGTAAATGCCAGATAGGTGTAGCACCTTGCTTATGATTCCATTGTTTAGAATGTCTTCCTCTGCTTAGAAGGTGAAGATATTATTAATTCACTTAAACAAGCAGTTTAGATAGATCAGCCATTTTGGCAACCTCTGGTTTCAGTGTAGAGACTAGGCATCAAAATAGAAAGTGAAGAACCACTGAGAAAGATTTCAAGTATTAAACACATGCCCCCTTATGCATGTGAAATCACCTACACAAGTGAACCCTCCTGTATAATAAAGCACACGCACACGCGCGCGCGCGCGCGCACACACACACACACCCACACACACACACACACACACACACACACACACACAATGAATGTGCATCAGACAAAAGGACAACTATGAAATTGAGAAAGAGTTACCATTGGGGTGCAAATTATAAATAGTATTTTAGTCTTAGACTTCAGTCTAACTTTTATCCAAGGGATGATGTGGTGAGGAACTGAGAGGTCAGGGAGGAGAAACACTTTCTGCAGCCTCTATCAATAAACAAGGGAGAAGGGGATGTGTATAAATGCTTGGAAGAGAATATGAAGAGGAAACGAATTCATCATTCGTCATAACTGAGCAAAATTGATGGTATGAACTTAAGGAGCACAAAACTTATAGACACTGTGAAAATTAACTTAGGGAAAGCAGACATATGTTGTGGAATATGATTTTAACTAGGAAAAGATGAGTTATAACTGTTTATGCTATGGAATATTTCTTTAGCTATGTGAAGGTACATTACATTTGTTTCTGCTGCCTTTGTTAATGATGTAAAGATGTATTGCATTTGTTTCTCCTCCCTGGCCTAAGACACCTGATAGGTCTAATAAAAGATTAATGGCCAATAGCTAGGCAGGGGAGGGAAATACAGGTCTGGCAGGCAGAGAAAATAAATAAGAAGAGAAATCCAGGCAAAGGAAGGATAATAAGGGAGAATGAGGGAGAAAAAGAAGAGCATTCCCATGGCCAGAAGCCAGGAAGCCACTGCCCACACAAGAAACAGCAAAAGTGAGATATACAAAAAGGTAAAAAGTCTTAAGGCAAAAGGCAAATGAAGAAAAACAGCAGCCTAAGCTAAGGCAGATCATTCATAACTAAGTGTTTGGGTCATGATTTGGGAGCTTGCTGATGGCCCAAAAGAAAGCCCCGCACAGACATAGTTTTCAGAAATGTGAGGTATGGTAGAGATAGTTATCAGTAAACCATTAATTATTAATGGCTTAGTTTTTTGAGAAATAAGCTGTAGGTCTTGATGTATAAGAGTATACATGACACAGAAGTGCTAGATTTAAATTCTGTTATAGATTTACAGCATGAATAAAGTGCTCAAGTATGAAGATCAAGAACCAGAAGCAATTGCACATTTGACTCAGGAAAAATATTTCCTCAGCAATGTCCACATTGAGGTAGGTTATCATGGGTATATACAATTCCACCAACATAGATGCAGAAAGTGGGGTGAGTTTTGAAAACAATGAATTTTTTCAGGCAGCTAGAATATGGACTACTGTAGCAGGAAAATGTAATAAAGCATATTATTTGCATGAGCTTTCAATAAAAGTAGAGTAGGATTGGATACCACTTTATTTGTGATGCAGCAGGGTGATCTTGGACAATGAGTCACAAAATTTTCTTCATCCACAAAATGTTTGACCAAGACTACAGTCGCAAGCATTGCTGTGAAAATGAAATCAAAGGATGATGCCATGTGACAAATGCTCAATAAACTGTAAATATCACCGATAATCCCCTAGTGGGAAAAGACAAGAAAATCACTAGCTGAACAATCTCAAGATGAGGGGTATGTAGAAAAAGATTGGTGTAACCCTATTTAGAATGTATGAAATGTATATCATGTGCTAAGCATATATAAATGGGAAAGTGTGCATGTGTGTTTCAACCATCTAATAAAGAGAGTGAAACTTGGGCATGGGTAAGCTTGATGATGTTAGTTAAATTGCCAGAACCTATGCAATTATGTATTACATCCATTTTACTATTGATGAATATGTACCACCAGCTGTGGTATTCCAAGTGCTCCTTTGATGACATAGAAGCCAGAGATACAGTTATTCCCAGAAGCTCACAGGCCAGCGATCCTGATACACAGTATAAAATAATTATATTTCAATAAGATGGACAATAAGGATAGAAACTCAAAACTTGTCCTCTGTCACACACACACACACACACACACACACACACACACACACACACACACACACACGTGCATCCATGTCATGTCACACACTAAAGTGCACAGATTATCATGATCTCATCTCCTCAACCCATAATTCTCCATACAAGAGTGGGGGTTCCATATTAGGCCAAGTGTTGCAAATTGTGAAAATAAATGTCAATGATTGTTTCAAAGCCCTTCAGATGTTCTTCATACAGTTTAAAATGGTTCAAATGTTAGAGACTTGTAACATTAATTTGTAAACACTACCTATAGATAAAATTGCTTTTAGTATTTGGATGAGATGGTTAGGTTCAAAAAGTATGGTGATTTTTCAAGTTCACCCAACATAAAGCAACAGAATCCATATTGTATAAAACAGATCTGATTCCATAGTTCATGTTTTCTATTTCAAAAAGCCACAAATACCGAGTAGGATACAGATAAGAAAAGAAGGAGGTTAGAAGTATAAATGAGTTCTACCACTATAGTCCTTCCTGAAAAAAAAGTCTCAAAATAGAACTGTCATACAAAATCTCTATAGCACTTCTGAGCATATGCAAAAATGGAAATGAAATCAGCACATTGTATCTATGTTCAACAATGTATTATTCACAAAAGCTAAAATACAAAGTCAGTAAGATTCCCACCAATGAATTAATAGATAAATATGTGCTGTTAGTAAAAAGTGGAGTGTTAATTGGAAAGAAAAAAGAGTTAAACAGTGGTTTTAGAGAAAAACAAAATGGAAGTGGAAGACAGTGTAAAGCAATTTAAGCTAAATATATAAAGTCACATACTATATGCTCTCTTTTAATGGTGCAACCTAAAATATATGCCCTGAAAGTAAAGGAAGAGTGACCAGAGTACAGTGACAAAACTAGCAGAATGGGGAAGAAAGGGTAGAAGAGAGGGTATCCATGATCAAGACATATTTATTATATGCAATTCACACGATAGCAATTTTCATATAATAGTAAAAGAACAAAGTGTATCTATTTCCTCAGTATTTTCCACACATCCAAGAACTATATCAAATACACACTCACACACACACACACTCACACATACACACACACACACACACACACACACACACTCACGCACACACGCACACACCATCTTCTGTAACATATCAAACTTACCTTTCTTGTTTCCTACATGGAAAAAAACACTTAGGTTTCCTCATAAGCGCACCTAAACTTTCTATATTACTGATGTTGTTTCAGTGTTCTGTTTGCAGTATGTATTGTTTCCAGACACTAAACCCCAACAACATTTTGTTTGTAATCATCTAACTTTTCCATCAGTTGTTTCACTCTCAAAACAGATTGATCTGAGAAAACAAAAGCAAACATACACAAAAATATCAGGCACTAGGTCTGGAGATCTACAAAGATGACACCAGTTAACAATCTAAGCAACAGAGGAGAGGCTACCTTAAATGCCCTTCCCTGATAATGAGATTGATGACTGTCTTATATGCCATCCTATAGCCTTCATCCAGCAGCTGGTGGAAGTAGAAGCAGACACCCACAACTAATCACTGAACTGAACTGGAATCCAGGTGCAGAGAAGGACGAGTGAAGAGCAAAGAGGTCCAAACCATACTGGTGAAACACACAGAAACAGATGACCTGAACATTGGGGACGTCTTGGTTCCCAGACTAATAGCTGGGATACCAGCATGGGCCTGATCCAGAGCCCAGGAACGTGGGTTTCAGTGAGGAGACCTCAGAAATCTACAGGACCTCCTGTAGTCGTTCAGTACTTATCCCTAGCATAGGTGTGGACTTTGGGA